TCTTTGTTAACTACTTTTTCTCTAATGAAGTGATAACCGACCTCGATGTGCTTAGTTCGAGCATGGAAAATAGGATTGGATTCTAGTGACATAGCACTTAGATTATCACACCAAAGAACAGGAGGTTGAGGCAGATAGATGCATAGTTCTCGTAGAAGCATTCTTATCCAGTACACCTCTGCAGTTGTTAATGCCAAGCTCCTGTATTCTGCCTCAGTACTGGACCGAGAAACCACAGGTTGTTTCTTAGAGGACCAGGAAACTAAACATTGCCTAAGGTAAATCCCATAGCCAGTGGAAGACCTTCTATCATCTGGATTACCAGCCCAATCTGCATCACAAAAGGCATGTAATGAAACGGTGCTTGGTTGATAATAAAGGCCGAAGTCAGCAGTGTGCTTTAAATATCTTAGAACCCTCTTAGCTGATGTCCAGTGAGTGCTAGTTGGAGCCTGCATATTTTCTCTATTAAACATACTGGTTCTTCCATTGTCCACTCTAATAATAATCAATTCTTACTTGATAATGTTATTCACTGTCCTCAAGCTGCAACCAAGATTTCAGGACAAGATTACAACCTAAATGTCAGCCATTACAACCAAGACATTATGGACAGTCAAGATATCAGTCATTTCCCGTGTCTTAACACTATCCTGCTCTCTATGAACAAGACTTTATAATTATTTTTGTCCTCTTTAGGGAGTACTATTTCTATGCCCATTAAAAATGATAAAGTAGGATCAAATATAGTATTTTAGTGATATCATTTCTCTATGTTTGTCTTTCTAGGAATTGTAATGAATATATCGAAATTCATTATAATTTTGTGTGTGTGTTAATTTGGTTAATATAAAAAATTTATTGCTCTCATTTCTTCAAGTTCTTTAGATTTTTAGATTATACTATTTCATTTTCATCAACATTATAACAAGTCATGATGGGTCTCAACTGTAACTTTTTTGTGATTCGGTTTTGATGATTTTGGTGCTCTGTTGTGATTCCTATTATCATAAATTGTTCATGGCCTACGGAACTTAGAAGCATATTCTGAGGTTTTCTTTGGATGCATGTGTATTGCAGAAAATGAGTTGAACATATTGGTGTGCACTCCTGGCCGACTCCTCCAGCTAGCACATGGACGAGACACCAAATTTTGATTGTTCACAGATTCAGGTCTTTTCTTTTGTTATTCTTTTTTTTTTATAATTGATAAATGAATGGGCTGCTTGCTTCTTGAATGATCTTGATTATTTAGTGAGGGAGAAAATGGAACTTGAAATTAAGGAATGTTTACAATATTCTATTGGATTTCAGCTTCTTCAAAAAAAAAAAAAAAAAAAACTTTAATGTATGAAGTTTTCGAGAAAATAATTATTAAAATAAAATCAAAATTTTTTTAATATTTTTATTCAAATTAGCGATGGAAATGGCGATGAAAACTCGTTGGTAATCATCAATGGACAAAATCTGTAAGTACTTTGCGACGAAAATATTTGTTGCTAATTAATTAGTGACGGAAATAGCCGTTGGTAAACACCGATGGCTTCTTCCGTCGCTAAATCACCGACGACCTAGGTAATTCGTCGCTAAAATTAGCGGCGGGGTATTACCGACGGATTTTCCAACAAATCAATTCCGTTTGTGAAAATCATTACCGGCGGAATTTAAGGAATCAACAACGGAAATTTTCATCTCTGAAGCCACATTTTTTTGTAATGATTTATAAATACAAAAACAATAATAATAAATAAATTGAATATTAAAAATAAATTGTTGTACTTTTATAAATTGAAATATTTTATCATTATCTTCTAAATAAAGAATTATAGAAAATTTACAACTTGGTCGTATGACAAGTTGATGAATGTGGACAATTTTGAGGATACGGTTAAAGGTTAATTGGTTAAATCCAAGCCCCTCATCCTCGTGGCATATTCTTCAAAGAATTCACTGAGAAAACTGAGATACCCGACAAGATTCTTCATATTTTATGCTGTTCCAATTGTCAGTCAAAGGCTATGAATTCTCCATAAAACTTTATATTCTCTCTTCACAATTTTTAATGACTGGAAAGTGAAAGATGAATTAAAAATCCATTAATTGGAAATATGCGTCTAGTTTGGTGGGGGTGTCAATGCCAGCAGCCAGAAAGAGGTGCTTTTGATGTCTGACTTTGTAAATGCTTAGTTTGACTTGCATATATAGGAAAATGCTAATGCTGTAGTCCTGCCTTAATCATGAAATGGGCATGTGAATCCTGGCGCCTTTTATAAATATATATATAAAAAAAAAAAGGCTTTATTTGTCGGATCGTTTTGACTAGAGGTGTAAAACAGGATGTTTCGAATAAAAATGAATAAATTAAGCTTACGCTTAACGTTGAGATAAATATACGAATTGTCGCTAAACCTTCTAAATTATTATTGAACTTTAAAAATTTTTGAGTTAGTCCGAACTTTTTAAGTGCTTGTTATTGAAGTTTAAACATTTTTTTAGCCGTCACTAACGTTAGCTAATCAACAATTCACTATATTATAAGAGAAAACTAGCTAATCATCATAAAAAGAGAGAATATTAGATGATGGCGTGCGAGGTTACACACACAGAGAAAAGGTGGTAGGTATATGGGCTATTCCCAATATTAGGGCTGGGCAAATCTCCCGAATCGAACCGATCCAACCGAACCCGATGGTTCTTGTCAAATTAAATACCCGAACGGGTATCTGAATTGAGAACCGGCGGGTACGGTTCGATTTTCAATTCTAGACCAAGAATCGAAGAAACGAAAAAGAACCGAATTTTTCTAATTTTTTTTTATATTGAGTAAATCAAATTATTTTAATTTTAATTTTTTCTAAACAAATTAACAATTTCTAAATCCAAATTTTTGGCCCAATAATTTGTTTCATTTCTAATTTTTTTAATTTTTTGCCCAATTACCCATTTTATTATTTCATTTCTTAACCCAACAAGATCTAATCCACTAAATAACCATAAACACCTACACTAAAGTGCATAACGTTGTCTCAACTCTTGCACTCACTCTCGTAGCCTTGCTAACATTCCAAAACTTATACAATCATCTGCCGATGCTGTGACCTCCGATCGAAACTGTGACCTCCGCTGACCAAAACTTTGACCATAGCGATCATTTGAACAAAGTAGTCTACTAGTCTCTGACATTTCAAAACCATTGAATGAATCATTAGTTGTATTTATATAATGTTGTTATAAATGTTAAAATTTTTAATCATAGTACAGAACCGAACCCGAACGGTTCTATAATTATATTTGGACTCGACGGTTCCATTTACTAGATACCCGAAAATTTTGGTTCGGTTCGGTTCCCTTTAGAACCAAACCGAATCGATCCGCGCCCACCCCTACCCAATATGTTAAAAGTGAAATCATCCTTTTCGAAACCTAGCTAGGGCAAGGTTGAAATTTGCCTCATTGGGAAACCCTTTTTTTAGGATTGTACTAAAAATATTCATGCCCCCCTCCATGTGAGTGGGTGTAATCTATTGTGTACACCATAAGGTGTACATATAGAATAATCCTTTCTACTTCTTTTGTATATAATTACTATTTTCTCCATGAATATCATGGTTCAAAATTTTAGTTTTCACAATGATTCCAATATGGCATATTCCAAGAATGCATTTTAGAGCCTACAAAGTGGATTAACTTGTGATGTGACGGACTCGGTGAAAAGGTCAAAGTTATGTTATGGTCAGCATTACATATAAAGCTTTTAGATTACCTTCAAAAAAGAAAAATCTTTCAGGTTGTCTTTTACTTGTACCGTATTCGATTGTTTATATTTTGTGGTTAACCAAATTTAGTTCTAGCCTTTTTCTTTTGGTTAAATTCAGCAGTTTTTCTTCAATGCTTTAAATAATTAAGATTAACAATTTTGGGGCTGAATATATGTCTCCGTCGAGAGTTGACTTTGACGCAAAATTAATGTTCGGTGATTTACAATTTCAGATTAGGTTCTTTCAGGAATTAGTTATACCATACAGGGTTTATATGCTTTGGTTTTCAATAAACTAGCACCCGTCATTCTCTTATTTATGTATTGGGGAACCACTTATGATTGAAAGTTAAAAGGATTCTCCGTAGTTGGAACCTATATATGCAAACATTTTCTTTCATATTTACATAAAGGAGTATCGTATATTACTTTGTTATATATTTCTCTTATCACAAGCTTATATTTTTATATTAATGACATATTTCTTTCTTTCTTTTTGTCTTCTTGAATTAAACAGTGGCATGTATTATTACAATAAATATAGATATGGTCTTTTTCAGGGGCATAGCCAGCTGGACAAAAAAAAAAATCTAATAGGTTAAACATAGCGAGAAAAAAAAAAAAAAAAAAAAAAAAAAANGAAAAAAAAAAAAAAAAAAAAAAAGAAAGAAAGAAAAAGGAAAAGAGTTCCATAGAACAAACGTTTTTTCCCTTAAAAAGAATTGGCCTTGAGGGGCAAGCCTGAGCTAAAGCGATCAGCCCTTTACTTTCCTTTTCTATTTTTCATTTTAAATTAAACAGTGGCATGTATTATTACAATAAATATAGGAAACAGTGTACATGTGAAGGGTAGCAAACCAGGGAGTACTAATATTGTCAAGATTTTTTTTTTCTTGTTTCTTTTTCTTTTGGTCACGGGATTATGCTTCTGCATGTTAACTAACGCAGTAACATGCAGGCAGAGTGCTTGTATGCATGAAAAGCTTGTAAACATGAGAGAGAGAGAGAGAGAGAGAGAGAGAGAGAGAGAGAGAGATTATTTGTAAAAGTTTTATTTATAGATAAATTGGCTATAACACGCTACATTATACATAAAAACAGATTCACCTGAAATGAAGCTGAGGGAACTATTTGAAAAGGAAATCGAAAATAATTAATGATATACGTGCACCTGCATCGGATGAAAATCCATAATATAAATTACAAGCGCTAATAAATCTACTTATACATAATACACGCATGTTTATGCATTTGGTCCAGTGGTCTTGTTTGCAAAAGAATGACCAATACCGGGACTGTGACCTGGTCCTATGGGTCGAAAGTCATCAGTCTTTCCTGCAACTTTGTCCTTTTGAGCTGGAAAAGAGTGCCCAATTCCAGGACTCTTTCCTGGTGATGTAGGTCGAAAATCATTTACACCCATTGCATCAGAACTGTCGATTTCATTTTTTTGATCAGTTGGTGGGGGAATGCGCTTTTGTCCTACAATTTGAGGGGAAGCATTAGCGGGAAGAATAGCTGGAAAATCGTGTTTTTCTTGTTTCTTAAATGATTTTAGTTGCCTTGCTTCGGTAAGTGAAATTTGAAGGCAGGAAAAACCCGCAAGAAGGAACAGAAGTAAAGGGATATTTTGTATGTAGGCCATGAAAGGGAAGATGGATATGCAAATGTAGTTATTTGCTGCTTTAATAAGTGTGTGTTTTAGAAGCGGGACATATATTTGTTGTTTTAGAGCTGAATATTTCGATTTCAGAATTGCCTTGGTATTTATAGCCTTGAGGTATCGCATCATGTCAACATTGAAAGTCCTTAGTGAAAATAATAATGGCAATAATAAAAATTCCATAGTGTGGTGCTTTTTCTTTGGACGGTTCATATTAATTGCTTAAACTATTTTAACTCTGTGTGATAGGGATTAAAATTCAAATTTCAATCCAAGTCAAAGATAATAATTAATTTTAACCACAACTACATATTTTGTAAGATTCACAATTTTTTAACTACACATTTCATATTTAAGAGTAAAACGATAATGATAGGTGGGATGATACGTCCATTGTCATAGTTCTCATCAATCTCTAAAAAATGTGTATTGATCAACTCACATGGGACTTGTTATGCACCTAAATGATGGTTCAGCATGTTCACAACTCATACAACAAAATTCAATTTCTAATATGAAGTCTCTTTGTAGAATACATGACTAGCAATTGTTATATGCTCCCTTGTCTGCTCTTAGAGCATATATGATGCATTCTTTGATTATAATTTAGGTGGCATACTATTTGAAAGACGATCTAATAAAATGACAAGTACAAAATTAGTCTTCTATTGGTCCTCCCTGTTACTTTAGCAAAACCCTTTATGCAAAACCTAATATTATTCTCTAGGTGTCTTATTTTTATAATAAAAATAGAATCACATCTAAAGGTACATAGAAAATATAATTTTGTCGAATTAATTTGTCTAACATAACTTTTGAATTTAGATGAAACTCTAAATAAATATACTTAGAAATCAGTGGATAGCTTTGTTTCCTAATTGTAAAACATCTTGAGAAGTGTTAATTTATAAATTAAACAAAATCATATTTATTGTTTTTTAAATTAACGAGTCACTTTATATTGGAATTTCAGAAAAATACATATTTAGCATGCTGCATGTCATGTTGAATAAGATTGCATTTAACCTTAAATAACATCCATTCCAATTTGCTTCCTAATCACTTCCTATCATTCAATTCATTATAAAAATCACGTCACATACGAGTCTCCCGAGTGATGTTACTAAGTTTTTATATATAAAATGAGAATTTTAACTCAAGCACAAATGCGGTCTTAATTTTTACGATAACCATATCATACTATAGATTGTTGCATGCACGAATTAAGAAGTGGCATCTTAGCTATATATGTCCCTGATTAATGAAGATCAAACTCCACAGTCTAGTCTTGAATTTAGTGCTTGTTTGGAATAACTTAAAAATGTGCTAAAAAATTAAGGTTAAAATCAACAATTAATTTTAACCACACAATTCATGAGATCTAAAATTTATATCACCAACATATTTCATAAACTTTTATCAATCTCCACTAATTTTTTTATCAAAATCATTACCAAACAATCCCTTATCAGAATGGAGAAGGGTCCTGAATTCAAGATTTACTATCTTCCACTTTTAGGAAGTTTCACAAGTCCGTAGTTTTTTAAAAGTAGATTAATAAATAAATAAATTTCTATATCATCCGTTATCCAACACACCAAAAGTCAAACTCATTTCTGTAAATACTATACACCACCAGAAATGCATTTCACATGAAGATCTTGAACTGTTTCTTGTGTTGTAATCACAAAGTGTCGTTTTCTATTAATGGAAACAAAAGTTACCTTAGGAACTTTGTTTTTCTATACATACAAAAAAATTATCTAGCATTTTTGCCAAAAAGATTAAATAAAAAATTGAATGGTCAAAAAATAAATTATTTTTGTAAATTGAATTATTTTATCATCATCTTGTAATTCTAAAATAAAAGAATTATAAAAATAATTGACAAATTTGTTCGCACCACAAGTTGATGAATGTGGACAGTTTTGGGGAATCGATTAAATGTTAGTTAATTCCCAGCCCGTCGTACCTCGCAGCACATTCTTCAAGAATTAAACCATTCTCTTCAAAGAATCCACTGAGACTGTTATGATTAGATTCAGATTATTAGGCGATTATATCAAACAAAAATAATAGAAAATATAGTACTGAAAGTTAAATAAACACAAGAATTTTCGCCCTAATGCAATAAGTTTAGAGCAAGACTCTTAATTCCCTTTTGAGCTTTCGTCATCGAAAAAAATCAAGTCAGCTGAAGATAGAACACGATTTCCTTAATTAAATCCAATCGTCAACAATCTAGTCAGCAATAACATCATCCTGGTCACGATCAACAATTGTGCCACATTTTCAACAGAGACATTTGGTATATCCGACAAACTTAGCCGATTCTATCTATAGGGCCGAAAAAAATTATTATATTTTTGTAAGTAATTTATTAAAAAAAGAGAGCGAACTGAAAAATCGATTTATTTATCTTTATTGTAATAACACCGCTTCTACGGGAAAAAAGGAATATCAATACTAAAACTAAAGGATTCCCCCTTTTCCGAAAAAGCTTCTTTTTTCTTTTTTTTTCCCCTCGATTGACACCAGCCAATATCCGTTGAATTATAACCAACCACCCAGCGTGCAACCCAGCATTAGCAAGCCCATGCCTCTGGCATTGGCAGTTCCTCCCATGCCGAATGTTAGGTTGGATCGTTCTTGACTTTTTCTCTCTCTTTTTTTGGGCTTACTCTTCATTTTCTCTTATTTTCTCTTTTATCATTTCTGTCATTTCTTTTATTTGTTAGTGACCTTTTAGCTTTTATTTTACTTTCGCTCCTTGTCTACTTATCCTCAATTCTTCTATTGATTTTGTATCTTTTTTATTTATTTTATTTTCGTTGTAGCAAAATAGGATTCTGCTTGATTGGATTCACTCGACAGAATCCTATCAAAATAGGCTTAGAAACAGAACTTCATCTCCAAATTCTACTCTCTGCAAATTCTCTAGTTTATATTTACGGTTTTGACAATACTGAAATGTATGCTTTTTCTTTTATTTTTATATCCTCTCACTACTAAAAAACATGACTTTAGGTACGAATTTTCCATTCCTGAAATCACGATATTCATTGTTATTATTCTTTACTAATGGAATATTAGCAACCACAAATCCATTTTTAATTTGAGGGTCGATAATAGTTACCAACGGATTGTGCTGTAAGTAAAAGTAAACCATTTACCAACGAATTTACTGTTGGTAAAGAGTAAAACTTTTACCAACGAAATTTTCGTTGGTAAAAATCTAACAATTACCAACCAACTTTTCGTTAGTAAATGTCTACTATTATAATTGGTAAAAGTCAGTGTTGTAAATAGCTGCATAGGTGTGAGGTGTGAAAAAATTATTTATTTATTTTTTATTGTTGTTATTATTATTTATTTAATAAATATAATTTTTTAACTTTTGGCTAACTGAGTTGAAAGACCTAAAAATTTGTTTAACCACTTATTAAACCACAAATTTATAGATGGCAACTCCAAAAATTTTATTGTGAACTTCGGATGTGGGATAAGAATTCCGTTGAAAATAATTAATATTAGCAACGGCAATTCCGTTGGTAATATGAACTACTCTTTACTCACAGAAAATTCGTAAGTGAAAGATTGATACAATTTGTAGAAAATAGTTGAATTTCATCATCTATGAAAATGCTGTAGGTAAATAGTACGTATATTAAACAATAACGTTAGGCATGGAATATTCGTTAATAAAGAGCTACAACTTTCACGAACAGAAATTTCGTTAATGATTTTCGTAGTTAAAAATCTAATACTTTTACCAACGGATACAATATCCGTTGGTGAAAAGCTAATTTTTAGTAGTGTCTTTTATATTTTTTTGGTATTTTAAATTTTCCTTGTTTTTCAATTTTCGTATGAAAGTATAAAATAGGTCAAATATGGAATTTTGTAACATGGAAAACTCTTAAACCATTATCACAAACACATTGGTGATAGTTTAAAAATGATAAAGTAATGAGATTTCAAGTGCCATAAAAATCGCTTTATAACACTTAGTGGAACACATATGATGACCCTATGGTATTTAGAAATGCTAAAAAATTGATCCAACGCGTTGGTGATAGTTTAAGAGTGTTAAAGAAATAAGATTCAAGCGCCATAAATAAAAATCGCTTTAGAACACTTGGTGGAACATATATGATGACACTAGAGTATTTAGAGATGTTAAAAATTTATCTTCTAACAATATGGATTTTGAGTTTTTGTTATAGTTATTTGGTACAATAGATTATCTGCTATTAATAGTGTAAGCAAAATGTTATAAAGTGAGAATATGTCTATTAATGTTGTTATTAGTCATTTGAAAGCACTTATTTCATTTTTTGAAGCATACATAAAAATTGTATGTGAATCTAAACATAATTACTTGTAAAAAAATTGTTGCCCAAATGGAAGTTGAACATATATTTATGACATGTGAATTATTTATAGAAAGGAGCACCTTGATGAAAATATTAATGATGAGAGTAGAAGAATGTTTTAGAGTTGTAAAAAAAGGTTATACCCTAACCTTAAGGGTCCCCCACTACCCCTGCCCTGGAGTATCGTGAGGGAGGTAAATCGCAGGTTATGCCTTCAAGAGTACAGGGTGGAAGGCTGCTTGAACACTTGCACTTACCCAAGAGTCAAATTCATATTTCAGGATTCGAACCCTTGACGCAGCAGCCTCAAGCAAAGCTGTATTTCTCCACCCTCCCCTTTTACCACTTGGAGATGTGCCCTGGGGGCTGTTTTAGAGTTGTATGTCTTACATATAGTTGATCAAGCTCTTTTTACTTAAATTAATGTTAAAATAATTTCAAAAATATGAAAATAATTTTAGATTTTTGTTTGATTTAAAAGAATTACAGACTGAAGATAATAATCATTTGAAATGTTAGTGTACAAGCTTGAAAAGTTTTCAAAGCACAACATGTATTTTGATTTTGATGTGCAAAAATTATTATATTTGTTGATTGTTAGGAATCGTTCTTTAAACAAGATCAAATAGTAATTGAAGTATTAGAATATCTAAAATAATGGAATGTTATTTTTTAAATGTGTGGAGATGTGCCCTGGGGGCTGTTTTAGAGTTGTATGTCTTACATATAGTTGATCAAGCTCTTTTTACTTAAATTAATGTTAAAATAATTTCAAAAATATGAAAATAATTTTAGATTTTTGTTTGATTTAAAAGAATTACAGACTGAAGATAATAATCATTTGAAATGTTATTGTACAAGCTTGAAAAGTTTTCAAAGCACAACATGTATTTTGATTTTGATGTGCAAAAATTATTATATTTGTTGATTGTTATGAATCGTTCTTTAAACAAGATCAAATAGTAATTGAAGTATTAGAATATCTAAAATAATGGAATGTTATTTTTTAAATGTGTGGATTGTTTCTAGAATATTATTGATTATATCAGTTATATAATTATATTTATTGTGCTTTTCGAATTTGAATTTGACAGAATCTTACTTTTGGTGAACAATGTCATTAGAGAGGTTGAATGGATTGCTCATGGTGTATGTTATAAACAGTTCTAAAACAGATTGCCTTTAATATTATAATTTTGTTTTTCTATAAAAATATAAAATAAAATTAGAGAGTAAATTTAATTTAGACATTTGAAAATTTTGGATTCTTATTTTTATAACTTTGCATATTTTCATTTAATAAAAATTTATTTTTATTATTATATTTTAAAATATTTTATAGATACTATATTTGAAGTTGGCTTAACAACATCGACCCAGTGGACAAGATTCTTTAAGATTCTCCCTTTTGTGGCTGATTTATATATTCCAATTGCCAGTCAAACGGAATGAATCCACCCAGAAAGAGATGACTTATAGTAAAATCTTAATTTGACTTGCATATACTGAAATGGCACTGCTTTAAGTCAAGCCCTAATCATGAAACCTATGTTTAACATAAATGGGCATGTGACTCTTGGCCTGTTCAGTAAAAACAATAAAGGAAGAAAAAAATTGCTTTATTTGTTGGTTCATAGTGCCCAGAGCTTTGAAACAGGCTGTTTACAAAAACAAAATTTAAACATACGATTAACGTTGAGTTAAATACAAGAATTAGTCACTAAACTTTCTCATTGTTATTGAGTTTTAAAATTTTTTCGAGTTATATCAAACTTTTTAAAATATTTTTCTCATGTCATTGAAATTTTAGCTTTTCGATTTATCGCTAAACCCCTTTTTTTTTACTCCTTTGAAACTTTATTGATAAACCCTCACATATGGCAAAGGAACACCGTGATACTCAAAATTACAATACAACCAACAATTAAAACCAACTAGAATATGAAAGAAGGAGTGCCAATACTATCGAGTCTAATGCAACCAGAAGAACGCCTGAAAAAAACTATCACTAGAATTAAAAAAAGTCGAGGTACCATCAAAACGTTAACTAAATGACCTTTCACTATATTATGGGAGAAAAAAAATTATTCTTCATAAAAGGAGAGAATCTTAGCTGGTGGCGTGCGCAGTTATACACACATAAGTAAAGAGAAATGTCGAATTATCTTTAAAATAATAATAATAATAATAATAATAATAATAATAATAATAAATAAATAAATAATACCTTAGATGGGGCAAGGCTGCAATTTGCATCTTTGGGATTTTTTTTTATTTTTTTAACTTTTGCTCATTCTACTTTACTCTAATCTTTTGTCTTCTTAATTATGCTCATGTTTGGTATGAATTAAAATTAGATTTTTAGCAAATCTTGATAGGAGTTGATGAAATGTGTTATTAGAAAATTGTCAAAGTTGATGAAATGTGTTATTTGATAATTGTCAAACTATAAAATATGTGACTAAAATTAATTGTTAACTTTGAATTAAATTAAAATTTTAATTTTAATTTATACCAAACATGAACTATATATAAAAAAATTAAGAACACATATTTCACTATTTTCTCCATAAATACCATGGTCGTTTTGACAATGATTCGAATTTGGCATATTCCACCAATGCTTTTAGAGCCTTAAAGTGGATTTTCACTTTTAAAAGTAGGATATGTGAGATGTGATGGACTCTTGAAAGAGGTCTAAATATAAAGTCATCATTATAAATAAATCTTTTTGGTTACATTTTAAAAATCATTCAGGTTGCTTTTTAGTTGTACAGTGTCTGTGTTGTGTGGTTAACCAAAATTTTAATCTAGCCTTTATCTTTTGGTTATATTCAGCCGTTTTTTCTTTAATGTTTTAAATAATGAATATAAAATTATCAATATTGGAGCTGAAATGTCTACGATCAAGATGAGAGTTAACTTTTAACCCAAAATTAATGTTTGGTGATTTACAATTTTAGAGTAGGTTCTTTTATACGCTCTCTGTATTTTCTTCTAGTATTTTGTTTTCAATAAACTAGCACATGTCATTTAACTAGTATTACAAAAAGCAAATCTTGGTAACTAATAATGATATAACTTTTGAATGGCATGACTCTTTACATAAAGGATTGTCATATATTTACCTTGTTATGGGGTTGACTTGCATGACAAAGTTTTTGATAAAAGTTAAACAAATTTTAAAGCTGATGAGATTTGTGGTTAAAAAGTTGATAAAATTATACGCCCTATTAAATGTGTGGTTAAAAATAGATTAGCTAAGACTCAAAAATATGGTCTTTTCCCTTTTTTCTTTTCTTTTTTTTTTTTTTTTTAAGAAAAAAATTAAACAGTGGCATGTATATAAAAATTTACATAAACATAGTCACACTTATGAAGGGCAGCAAACCAGGGAGTACAATAATATTGTTGTGATTCATTAACAGTGATTTATTTTCTGCTCTTTTCTCTCTCTCTCTCTCTCTTTTCTTTTGGTCACAGGATTATGCTTCTGCGTGTTATATTAACTAACAGAATAACATGCAGACAGAAATGAATATGCTTCTATGCATGAGAAGCTTGTAAACATAATGTGTGTATTTGTGCGTGTAGAGAGAGAGAGAGACTATTTATAAAAGTTTTATTTATGGATAAATTGGCTATAACACGGGTTCTACATTATACATTATACATCAAACACATTAACCTGAAATAAAGCTCTGTAAACTATTTGAAAGAAATATCGAAATAATTAATTATAAACGCGCACCTGCATCTGATGAAAATCCATAATATAAATTACAAGCGATAATACTTGTCCATAATACATGCATGTTTATGCATTTGGTCCAGTTGTCTTGTTTGCAAAAGAATGACCAATACCGGGACTGTGACCTGGTCCTGTGGGTCGAAAGACATCAGTGTTTCCTGCAACGTTGTCCTTTTGGGCTAGAAAAGAGTGCCCAATTCCAGGACTCTTTCCTGGTGATGTAGGTTGAAAATCATTTACACCCATTGCATGAGAATTGTCGATTTCATGTTTTTGATTAGTTGGTGGGGGAATGCGCTTTTGTCCTACAATTTGAAGGGAAGCATTTGCAGGAAGGATAGCTGAAAAATCGTGTTTTTCTTGTTTCTTAAATCGTTTAAGTTGCCTTGCTTCGCTAAGTGAAATTTGAAGGCAGGAAAAACCAGCAAGAAGGAACAGAAACATAGAGATATTTTGTATGTAGGCCATGAAAGGAAAGTGGATACGCAAATGTAGTTCTTTGCTGCTTTAATATGTGCGTGCTTTAGAAGAGGAGATATATTTGTTGTTTTGGAGCTGAATATTTCGAATTCAGAATCGTCTAGGTATTTATAGCCTTGGGGTATCACATCATGTCGTTAGTGAAATTAATAATAATTATAATAAAATTCCATAATGTGGTACTTTTTCTTTGGATGGTTCATATTAATTTCTTAAACCATTTAATTTATATTCGAATTGATGCAGTGCTCATCTCTTCATGTTAGGATCTTTTGGTTTAACTTGTTTCTTCTTGAATGCCCGTTGAACGATACGATAAGCTAATTCAATGTTATTCATGAGAACGAATCTTTCTCGAGCAGTTAGTTTCACATGATTAATATATGGTCATAAATTTTGACTTATTAATATGAGAAGTGATACATATGCATAATTGTTTACATAATGGTATACGTAATTACACGTGATACTGGATCCAATTATTAATTCAAATCTCACACATGCACATCAATAATCGGATGATTGCCACATCACATTATGGACACCATTATGTGTAATAATTATGTACAAATAGAAATTTTCTATTAATATTTCACTCGGGAGTGAGATAAATATGGTTTTTACATGAGAGTAAGCTGATGGTAGGTGGGATGGTAATCTCTAAGAAAATGTATATGGGTAAACTTCGGTGGAACTTATTATAGACCTAAATAAAGGTTCCACGTGTTCACAACCTATGCAACCAAAGTCAATGTCTAACATGAGGTCACTTTTCAGAATGCATGACTAATATCCATTATTAGCTCCTTATTTGATTCTTACGGCATCTCCAGTACAACCTATGGATTACAATTTAGATGGCATGCGAGATAAATGACTTTTGATGTACGTGACACTTATGTCTATAAAAACATACATAAGTTTAAAATTGGTCTCCAACTGGTCGTATTTATGACCTGAAGTGTCTTTTTTTTTTAAATAAAGATAAAATAGTACTTGAATTTGTATAGAGAATATAATTTTTGTCAAGTTAGCACGTCTAATAGAATTTCTAAATCCAGATTAAACTAAACAATGTCCGTTTGTTCGTTTGTCACATCAACTTGATAGAGTTTTTGTTAGATTGCATTGAAGATTTATTTAATTTTTATTTTATTTTTTTTAAAAAACACTCTATTTTCTTTGTATGGTAATTTCTTTTAGCAATCCACGGAAGCGTAGGAGATGCTCTCACCTTGATGATTGGCTAGTATACTCACAAAGAGATGTATCTAATGCTTAGCCCATGTATGGGCTCCATTATTTTCAAAATATATTTTTTCAAACTCATTTTCAACTATCCATTCTTTCATGAAATAATATTATTCATAAGCCCAAAACTTTTCCTTATCTTTTAACCATACATTCTTTAAAAAATCAATATCCTAAATACATTTTCTCCCAAAATCACATTCAAATGGAGCCCAAACATGGACTCAGTCAAATTATTATGTAAGATTTTGTGTCTTAATACATCAATTTGCTTAGCTGTTTATTTACTTTCATGCTCTCTCCCCACTCACTCAATAATTTATTTATTTATTTATTTATTTTTTTTTTTAGGCTTCAAACTCCCCTACCTCACCCCCAAAACATAGTGCATCTGGACTAAAAGAGGTTATCGTCCATGAAGATGACATAGTTGAGGACCAAGTTACCATCGACTGTATGCTTTGCTGTTCACATGCTGCATGGGTGGTAATTATTCATTATTTTTGGCAAATTAAATTTCTTGCACTATAAACAACGAAATTAACGAGCATAGGTGGCTTCCCATTTAATTATGTCTACTTATAATTAATGTGGATGCCTCATATTTCAAACACTTTCGGTAAACAATTCGAAGTGAAAGACAATCTGTCCGGGGTTTAAGTTTTGTTTAATAAATGGTATGACTGCTGAATTATTTTGTGAGAATATTCCACTAATTTACAATCATGATAAAATGTATTTAGTGAGAATGTTTCTCTAATTTACAATTATGATAAAAAAAAAAAAAAAAAAGCAATGTTATTTATAATCGCCCACTGCAATACTCGACCTATGCAGCATCCTACATGGCTATTTGTGATTTGGTACATTAATGTGTTAGTTTTTTTTTTTTTTTTTTTTTTTTTGTGGCATCCTACATGACAATTTGTGATTTGGTACATTAATGTGTTAGGTTTTTTTTTTTTTTTTATCATGCATTAAATTACTAACCATCGCATAGCGACAATAGTAATGAACGACTACAAATAATATTATTAATGATAAATGGTATTTTTTGCAGTACCAATAAATTTCTGCTTCCATACAGAGTATAAAAATAAATAATCTTGCTGCTTTGAGAAGAAATGAAAAAGGTAGTATTCATTAATGGACTTTGCTTGTGACCATCGAAAGTGCCCGACCTTGCCTGACCATGGTGTCTAATGGATGTACTGGACTGGAATGACAGTGACTTGTATTTGGTAGTTGATTTGATCAACTTTCCATTGTTTATTTTATGGTACTTCAGCATAAAAATTGGCATCACTGAACCACTGCGGATATTCTATTATTCTTTTCAAAACCAAAATCATGATTTTTCATAGGAACACTTTAGCAGATTTGGCATCTATCATTTATTTAGTATTCTATCTCCAGTTGCTCATATTACTATAGGTGGTATAAATGTGTAGTCATGAATATTGAGTCAACCTGCTTTCCAAATTATGTTCTTTGCTCTCCACTTCCACCTGGATGATCTTAAACACCAATAATGGTATATAACATTATTCATTACTCAATTTAATCAGTATAGAATTTGCTCAAATACTTGTAAAATAATGGTTTTTATAAGTGAACTTGATAATTAGAATTTCATGCATCTCTATCACATTCTGCCATAATTAAAATACATCTCAATTTTATATGAGAACGTGACGGCTATCTAATACCATCACATTGACTTTTTGTAAGTCGTAGCAATACTTATATTTTTATTTCTAGAGAAGCACCAAAGGCAGCGCATGTGCAAGACCAGAGAAACTGCCACTTCAGGGGGAAAAAATGAAATTTTGTTGAATGGGCGGCTGAGATGAACAGCAGTAATTTTGTTGAATATATTATTCTTAATCTTTTATTGTATGTGCGACTTTTTGACCTAATTATCATATATTATAATATTTGGACCTTTGTGTACAATTTAATTAATAAACGAAGGTTTGACCTGCCGCTGATTAGATTCTTTCAGTTTGATAACGACGAACCCACCAGAATCTATCACTACAAGAGTGGTGGCAATAGTTGGAATGCTGGAGCTTCATGATGCTTTATTTTCTTGATTATAACTTCATATGATTAAAAACGAAAGTGTGTCTTGAAGTTTGACCCAAATTTGTTTGGGTTTTGGTAGATTAATTGAAGTGGTGCCGCGCTCGAGCATCATCATGCTCCGTCTCGTGATTCGTTCTGCATTTTGACGCATTTTTTTGATGTTATTTTCATTTTTAGGACTTATATTAGGGTTTAGCATGTTATCTATATATAGTAAACTCTTCTTTACAATTAGAACAATTTAGACAATATTGTAAGCACAATATTTTTTTATTATTTCTCCATATTATAGTTAGTTCTCCTTTTCCTCTGCCAATTTTCTTGTGTTTTGCTACTTTATATTGTATCATATAATCTCGTCTTATTTCCTAACAAGTGGTATCAGAACGATACATAATTCTTGCTAGTTTGTTAATAAATGGTATTATAGCTTAAGATTTAATTTGTTCAAGGTTTTGTTCTAATGATAGCAACCATGAAGTATGATATTCTGCTTCTGGATTACAACACTAAATTTTCGTTGTGACAGGTGAAGATACGAGTAGTGCTTGCTCGAATGGATTTGGAAGATGCATTATTAGGATTTGAAAATACGCCCTTAAATTAATCGATGGAGGAGAAATAAAGCAAGGATCGAAAGGCTCTATCACAAATTCATCATCATCTTTAGAATCATATTCTTTATGACGTTTTGAAAGAGAAAATCACAGCTGCGTTATGATTGAAGTTGGAGCACTTGTACATGACTAAGAGTCTAACTAGAAAATTGCACCCGACGCAACATTTGTATTCTCATCATATAGCAGAATGTGCATCCTTAGAAAATCACATTGCCTTGTTTAAAGAAATTGTCCTTTTGTTGCATTCGTTGCCCGTTTCATACATGTAGTTTAGAGACATGATATTATATAGTCGTAATACACTCACCATTGAAGAAATATATGATATTGTATTTTCAAAGGACAAGATAAAGCATTTTGTTGGACTTGAGGCTCAATGAGAATGCCTTGTTGTTCATGATGGTTATGAGAGGGACAATTAGAAGTCTAACTTCAATAATAAAATTTGTAACTATTGCAAAAAGAAGTGGCACATTACGAAGGATTGCTATAAGTTGTAGTATGGATAAAAATTGGCACAAATCAGAAGGGAAAGCAACCAAAAACTTCAAGTAAAGTCAACGTGGCTGAAGATTACTAGAGTAATGGAGAACTTTTAGTTATTTCTGATGGTGACTCCAAACTTGATGAGGATTGAATTCTTGATACAGCTTGCATTTTTCATATATGTTCGAATCGAGATTCGTTTTCAACATATGAAACAGTTTTAAAAGGGGCTGTGGTAATGGGTAACAATGAACCTTATAAGATGGCTGATATTGAAATGTCAAAATTAAGATATTTGATGGGACAATTAGAACATTTGATGAGGTGAGATAGGTTCCATATTTAAAGAGAAATCTTATCTTCTTGAGTATTTTTTATTCAGAAAGGTACAAGCTCAGTGGTGAATGAGGAGCTCTGAAGGTTAGTGATGGTGTCTGTGTTAGATTGTCGGGATAGAGAAGATCCCAGTTACATGTCTTACAAGATTTTGTAGAATCTTTGAAGATCAATCAATAGAGG